AGATTGCTAGGTTTCATGGAAAGTGTAAATCTCAACTTCCCAGCATGAGGGAGAGAGAGGAAGGAAAACAAAACTGGCCGTTGAACTTCTGTACAAGCAGAACACGAAGTGGGCCAGCAATGCAAGCTGGCTGCAGCTGAGGACACGGTGAGAAGGTGGCCATCTGCCAGCAAGTGAAGGAGAGAGGCCTTGCCAGAAACCAAACCTGCAGGGACCTTGATCCTGAACTTTCAGTCCCCAGAGCTGAGAGCAAATTAATTTCTATTGTTTCAGCCACCCAGTCTGTGGTTTTTGTTGTTGCTGTTTTTGTGGTACTGGGGTCTGAACTCTAGGCCTTATGCTTGCTAGGCAGGCACTCTACCATTGAGTCACATACCCCAAGCCACTGTGGTATACCATTATGGCAATTCTAGCCAACTAAATACACCAATACGCATATTAAGAAGTGCTCGTCATCATTAATAATGAAGAAGAATGCTAAAGCCATAGTGAGAGGCACTTGCTTCTACCCACGGAGGATTTATTGCTACAGAAATTGCCTTCCCACTAGAAACAACTGGAAAGCACATTTGCTTTCAGACGTTGGACAGTGGGCAGTACAAGCCTGGCAATGCCGAGGTGGGGAAGCAAAGTGAGTCCTACAATTACAGCCCCAGAGCAGGGATACTTAGTTAGGGAAAGAATGCGGTGCTCAAAGTTTTCCTACCGGGGACTTAGCCCCAGATCACAGGCACCAAGTGAGGTCTGCTCAGAGGAAACAAGAACCTATTGAGATTAGCCCTAAGGGTTAAACTCATCTGCTATTCATGATAGCTCATATCATGATAATTACGAAAGGGAGGAATCTCATAAAACTGAGATTAAGAAGAGGAGAAGCAAAGGAGAATCTTTAATGGACGGTCAACAGATCTGATCAAAAGAAATCACAGGCTCCTCAGAAATCACATTTTGGCAGAAAGGAAACATCCCAAGGTCTTGTCTTGTGATGATGGGGGAGAGGCTCTAATTGGGTTTTTGGTCAGACCACAGTGCTTCTGAATAGCTCTGGGGACAAAATGTTACCCAGGCTGGGTAGATATGAAGTAAAAAGCTCTTGACTTCTCCTCACCATGGCATCTCCTAGCTTGGAACATCACCCCACAGCCCCAAGTTGCATCCCTTTAGGAGGTCAACGTGAAGTTGTATGAAGTGGGGCCCTTCAGCCCCTCTCCTTTCCTCTGCCTCAGGACCCAGGCTTATTCAAATAGCTCCTCCATATTGGGGCTATTCCTGCTTACACAACAGTTTGGACTGGTCTCTCTCAAATACAGGCATCATTTAGTGACAGGTATTGTATATATATATATATTTTTTTTTTTTAAATGGAACTGGGGTTTGAACTCAGGGCTCCATGATAGGCAGGCCCTCTACCACTTGGACCACATCATCAGCCTACAACTTTTTTTTAATTATTACAGTGGGGTTTTTTGTGTGTGTGTTTGTTTGAAAAATTGTGATTCTTTATCATTGATACAGATATGACAAAAACTGGTTTGAACTAAGCAGTACTTTTAAATAAAATTTTATTGAATTCTAATAGCATCTACCTCCATTTGCTACAAGAAACATTTTTTGTTGTTTTGTTTCGTTTTTTGAAACAGGGTCTCACTATGGGGCCCAGGCTGATTTCAAACCCATGATCCTCCTGCCTCAGCCTCCTGAGTGCTGGGATTACAAGAGTGCCATCATGCTCATGCCCAATATTTGATGTATATATGGATTTAAGGGTCCTTTGCAGTCAAAAGGGAGTTCACGGTACACAGAATAGGAAACATAGATGCATAAGAATACTGTTCTGAAAAGGGCAGGGAGGGTGGGAGCTTACATGAGCAGGCAATGTAACTATTCCTGATGCCTGCAAAGGGTGGACAGGATCATAGTTCACATTCCTAGGCTGCTGCTTCAATCAGCTTAGGAAGCACCCACTTCTCTAATGGCCTCCCAACTTCATTTAGAACAGTTCTTTATCCTTGCTTTCATCATAATTCTCCTTTTATTCTCACAGGCATCACTCCTCTCCACATTGATCTTAACTGCTATTTCTAAGGAACAAGGATCCTGAGTGTGCTTCCTGACCTTGCTGGTGATCAGAAGGTGATGTTCCTAATAGAACCTTTCATCCTTTTCTTTTTTATTTTTCCTTTGTTCTTTCCCTCACTCCCTTCCTTCCCTTCCCTCCTTCCTTCTTCTTTTCTTTCTTTTTTTTTTAGGGTCTTACTATATATAGCCCAGGCTGTCCTAGGACTCACTGTGTAGCCCAGGCTAGCCTCAAACTTGCAATCCTCCTGCCTCAGCCTCTTCAGTGTTGGGATTAGAGGCATGCACCACCACCACCCGTGTTTCTAATAGGACCTGATTCTTCCCACACCACATAACCATTGTGATTGACCAATGACATTCCCACTTCTTGGAATGTTCTCCTGTCTCTGAACAAAGATTACCAATGTGTACTATTGCTAAACTGCCTCTGCTCCAGGATCACACCCAATCCACAGTTGACCCTACTTTCTCTGCCTCTCCTTGGACTTGTGCAGTGCAGGCACAAGCTCTGAGCAAAGCTTCTCCTCCCTGTGCTGAGATGAAACTTGTCCTCTCTTGGGTACAATCTAACTTGCTAACTTTGACTATTATGTGTGCTCCTGGTGTTCTTTTTCTGATGGATTTGATCAGAATGACTAGATTTGAGGCATTTCCTTCCCATGAGGCCAGTTCATAGGCAGGTATTATACAGTCAGATGCCGCATAATGATATGGTCAGTGAGAATGTACTGAGCACACTGTAAGAGGGTAAGTACTGTGGATGCAAAAGGAAACAAGATATGAATTCCTGACCTCGACATGTTAACCATCTAAGTAGAATGATGACACAGGACCACAAGTAACTAGGACATAAGGAGAAGTATGACATCAGAGGTGCAAAGTGCCCTGGAGAAACATATAAACTTCCTCCATCAGCATATGAGGATAAGTTAATAAATGAGAAAATGAATGAAACAGACAGTTCTCAAAAGAAGTACAAATGGCCAATAAATCCAGGAGAAATGTTCAGCATACATATCCATAAAGGAAATGCAAATCAAAACTACATCTCACCCCAGTCAGAATGGCTATCATCAAGAAAACAAATGCTGGTGAGGACTCGTGGGATCCTTATACACTGTTGGTGGGAATGTAAATTAGTGCAACCACTATAGAAATCAGCATAGAGCTTCCTCAAAAAACTAAAAACTACCATACGATCCTAATATACCACTCCTGGGTATATGTCTGAAGGAATGTAAGTCAGTATACAATAGAGATACCTTCATACCATGTTTATAGCAGCACTAGTCTCAATAGCCAACTATGGAATCAGTCCTGGTGCCCAACAGCCAATGAGTGGATAAAGAAAATATGGTGCAAATACACAATGGGGTATTATTCAGAAAGAATGAAGCTATGTCACTTACTGGAAAATGGATGGGGTGGGAACCAGTGGGAAGGATGAGGAAGAGAGGGTGAAGAAGCAGATGAACACGACAAAAGTTCTTCATATGCATGTATGAAGGCAGAATAATGAAGCCTGTTAAAAATTACTTCAAAAGGGGAATAAAAGAATAATAGAGGAGGTGATCTTGGTTAAAGTACATTACATACATGCATGGAAATATCACAATGAAACACAAAGAACCTGAGGCTAAAGTGAGGTCCACAGTGGTGGTCCCCTAAGGTTATATCTTCAGACATTTTAGCCATCTTAGTTTCAGCATGATATCTGCATAACGAAATTGCCTAATGATGTATTTTCAGAACTATCGTTAAACTATGCTTAACTATCCAGTTTCCATATGGTTACCACCTGCAGGTAATACAGCATATGCAGATGATCCTTGATGGCAAATACAAGTTGGTAAAGCACGTTTGGGATACTCAGAGACAAGAGTGGGAACACTTCATTTTCTTATTTTTGAAAATAACTCGAAGCAATTATGAATATTTGGAGTGGAAAGCACAAGTGCTTATACGAGTTTATTTTATAAAAATTTCCCCAGCATTAGTGGTTGCAGTTTCTTCTTTTGTAGAAAAATTAAATAATGTATTAAACACTTTTGGAGTACCTACTATGTGCTTAGCAGTGTTCCAGGCTAATTCCATACTACTCAGGAAGTAACTTTCTTTTCAGAAACTTGGCTTCTGCTTCCAGCTTGACCACTAAGTGTAGGACCCTGGTCAACTCAGCATTCCTTATTCTCATGAAAGTGGTCCCCACAGCGCTATCCATTGGTGGAAACTCCTCCATTGAAGGGGTGTAGGTAAAGGGCAGACTAAGAATTTTCCAAATGGCCTTTTACATCACTGCCTGCAGCCCTACCCTAGTCCAGGATAAGATTTTCCTCATGGGATTTCAAATTTGCAAAGGGAACCTTGGATATTTTTTGAAAATGAGAGAGGGTAGAAAATTGTCTTAATTCCAGCCTATCCATACCAGGCGCTGTTTTAGGCGAAGTGGAAAGAACAGTCAAAAAACAAAACAAAATTTTTCTGCTTTCATAAGGATAAGAGTAGAGAGTGACAGAGAGATAAAATGATACAAAATGCAAGGTGAGTCTGGTACTGGTGGCTCACTCCTGAAATCCTAGCTACTCGGGGCTAGGCCAGGCAAACAGTTCACTAGAGCCCCCTCCCCCACCGCCATCTCTAAAATAACCAGAGCAAAATGGACTGGAGGTGTGGCTCAAGCGATAGAGTGCCTGCTTTGCAATTCAGGAAGCCCTGAATTCCAACTCTAGTCCCACCCCCTTCCGGCCAAACACCAGCCCTTTACCCCTTAGGAAACCTCAGGACAAATCGTTTCTTGAGCTCTCAGTAGTCTCGTGCAGGTTCCAGACTCCGCCCGCGGCCTAGCCTCAAGGCCTGTCTCCGCCCACGCTTCTGACGTAGAAGTTCCTGGCCTTTCCGTGAGGCCCCGCCCCGTGACGTCAATGCGCGGCGACAGCGATGGGGTCCGTTGCCTGTGTGGCGCGACGCGTCAGGTTGCTCCTGAGGCTTAGGGCTCTCCGCCCTGGAGTGGGTCCCGCGGCGACGCAGGGTCCCTGTTCCAGCTGCGGCCCACGGGGCGGCTTCCCGCGGGACCCGCGCTCTGCCGGGTCTGCCTCACCCCGGCCCTTGTGCGCGGCCTGCACAATGGGTCTCCGTTGGAGGAGCGGGCAGCCGATGAGCAACACCCGGAGACGGGCCCAGCAGGTACCGGCGTGGAGGAGAGGGAGGTCAGCTGCTGTGAGCAGTTGGGAGCCGAGTCCTAACGGGGGAAGCCTTGGGTTCCCTTCTCCATGCACGTGTGTATGAGTCACAAAACTCATGCAGATCCAGAGCTGTAAGGGACTTGAAAGGTTGTGTCGCCAGTCTTCCTGTTTTAACGTAAAGAAACTGTGAGGCCAGGAGATGAGCTGTCGTCTTCAAAATTCCAGCCGTGTAGATGGCCACATCTCTCCCTTGGAGTGTCAGCTTCGCCATCCTTACTTACTTTACGCTCTGCCTACGGTCGTGGGAATGGGTTTTTTGGGAGCGTGAGTCCTAAGGATTCGAGGGGGACCCAGGACCTCGGGATCTGTGATAGCGCTGAGAGAAGATGGGTCTCACTTAAAATCCCCTAATTGTTGCACATACCTTAAGAAAGTTGAGAAATTGAAAACAGGTCATTATAGAATACGAGAGGGAGACGTCTCGATGGACTTGATTACTAGGTCCTTTATAACTTAGGACAGCTATGAATTTACAGACTAATACTCCAAGGTGAAGAATAGAATGTCCGAATCTCTACCCGAGAAAAGGTTTTCATAGATGACAGTTGTTAATACAAACTGCTTTATAAGAAAAACCTGATGACTCAAAATGAGGTTGGTTAAAATTTTAGCTCTTATTTGATCTTAGGCCACACTTGTGTAGTCCTGTTTCTTCATCTCAGTTGCAGACTGTGAGTCCTTCCAGCTCACAATTCTAGTTCTATAATCTTTTAATGCTGGGATTCAATTTAATATGCCCAGGATATCACCCCTTCCCCAAATCGTGTTACTCTTTTTCTCTCTGTGTAGCATTTCTTTGTTTGAGGTGTATTGCTCATATCAGTACTAGTGACTAGAAAGTCATTTCCCTCTGATCTACATTTCTACTTGCATGTGGTAATAGCAAAGAATGTATAGAAGCTCTCTGAAACTTGAGCACTCTGACCATAAAAGCTGAGCAGTGCTATATGAAACTACAGCCCAGGTTCAACTTCCAAACAAACATTTTGAATCTGAACACCCTCATGAAGGAGCTCTCTCCTCTGGGAGACATCTGCATCTCTGTCTGCTTCTGTGGATGCATACAAGTCTTTCTTCTATTTGGCCATCTGACACAAACAAATACTTGTGCATTTCAGATCATACTGGTCCCAAGTTTGACATCGATATGCTGGTTTCACTTCTGAGGCAAGAAAATGCAAGAGATATTTGTGTGATCAAGGTTCCTCCAGAAATGCGATACACAGATTACTTTGTAATTGCTAGTGGAACTTCCACCCGACATTTACATGCCATGGCCTACTACGTTGTGAAAATGGTAGGATGCTTTCTTTTCTCTTTGGATTATAAACTGAGGAGAGCAGTGGCCTCGCGTCAAGGGCTGAGGAGCAATACTTAGGATAAAACATCAAGGGAGATCACAGAAGAGGCCCACATTTTCAGAATTTACAAGAGTGCATTTTATGTTCTTTGATAGTGAAAGATTTGGGAACATGTATTCAACCCTGTGGAGTCAGGACATTTCTTTCTTTTTTTGTTTTTTTTTTAAATTAGTATAAATTAATTTGTATAAAGTATATATTTACATATGTGCATATAGTATATACTTTGATCAAATTTACCCATTTATGTTACTCTTTCCCTCTTCCCTCTCCTTTTTAACAGTTTGTAGTGGGTTTCATTATACTATTTTCTTACATACATATAATTCTTTTTTTTTTTTTTTTTGGTAGGACTGGGGTTTGAACTCAGGGCTTCATGCTTGCAAAGCAGGCACTATACTACTTGAGCCACACTTCCAGTCCATTTTGCGCTGGTTATTTTAGAGATGGGTTTTCAGAGACTGGGGTTTGAACTCAGGGCTTCATGTCAAAGAGGCACTATCTAGAGCCACACTTAGGGCTGGTTATTTTAGAGATGGGGTGGGAGAGTTTCTCAAGAACTGTTTGCCTGGGCTGGTCTAGAACCACGATCCTTCCAATCTCTGTTTCTTTTGTGACCACAAGGAAAAGAATTGATGACCTGAGGCAGGCTAGAAAAACAGTGTGTCAGAGGGATATCTAGAACAACACTAATAGGTAGCCACTAGCTACATGTGGGTATTTAATTATAAGTCAGAGTTACAAATTAAGTTCCTCAGTTGTACTACCCACATTTCCGATGCTCAGTAGCCCCATGTAGCTGATTACTACCATATTGAACAGCCATAAAACATTTCTATAATTGTCCTGGACAGTGCCGGGCTACAGTTCATAATTCAGATGTTTGGGCATAATTCAGATGTTTGAGCACACTGTGCTCAGTGTGGGGGGAAGTAAAAATGAAATACATTCAGCCTTGAATTCATGGGTCTAGTAGAGGAAAGGGAAAGGAGTTCATTTTCCAATTGAATTGAATGTGAATCAGAATAAGAAAAAACTACTTGGAAGCTTCCAATTGATTCTGGCACCATTCTACAAGGGCACCAAACTCTCTTAACTGCCTTTTCTTTGGCTAATTTTCAACAGAGTTAAAACCAAAAGAATAGCTGAGGTTGTCTATAGCAGGGTTGTAGAATAAAGGGTCTGAAAACAGACTTGGTGCAATATGGCAGAGTAGAGGAAGATTCTGAAAAAGTAGTTGTAAAAATAGGAAGAGAACCAGGACAGCATGAAGAAGGGTAGTAAGACAGGGTCTGTATCAGATGCAATAGTATAATAGTGGCATAGAGTAAGATGAGGATTCAGTAATGACCATTGGACTTGGGGATAGAAAAAAGAATGGGAGGTTTTTCAGAGAAGTTTCTAGAAGAGGAAAAATGGAAAATAAGGGATAAGCAATTTTACAGAATTTTTAGATGAGAAGGGAAAGAAATGCAAGCTCAAAGTTTGTGGATATATATAGGATTTTTTTGTTTTAATTTTTTTTTTTCAGTACTGGGGTTTGAACTCAGGGTCTATACCTTGAGTCACTCCACCAGCCCTTTTCTCGTGATGGGTGTTTTTGAGATAGAGTCTTATAAACTAATTGCCCAGGCTGGCTTTGACCCTTATCCTCCTGATATTTGCATCCTGAGTAGCTAGGATTATAGTTGTAAGCCACCAGTGTCTTGGTATAACCTACAATTTTAATCATTTTTAAGTACATTCACATTGATGTGTCATCATTACCATTTTCCATCTCCAGAACTTCATCTTGCAAAACTGGAATTCTGTACCCATTAAATAACAATAACTCCAAATATTAACTCCTCCTTCCCTTCTCCCCATGCAGCAACCACCCTATTTTGTCTCTATGAATTTGACTATTCTTAGTATCTCACGAGTAGAATGCCCTGTACATGCCCTTTAATGACTAGCTTATTTCACTCAGATCGTCTTCAAGATTCATCTGTGTTGTACAATGCATCAGAGGATTCCCTCCCATCCCCATGCTAGGGGTTGTCAAACCCAGAGGCAAGCACTCTACTACCGAACTACATTCCTATCCCATTTCTTCCTTTTTAAAGGGTAATATTCTACATTCTCCTGTATGTATATGCCTCACTGTTTACCCATTCATTCACTGATGGACACTTTGGTTGCTTCTAACTTTTGGCTGTTGTGACTAGTGCCACAATAAACATGGATGTAGCAGTATGTTCATGTCCCTCCTTTTAATTCTTTTGGATATGCACTCAGAAGTGGAATTGCTGGGTCATAAGGTCATTCTATTCTTAATTTTGAGAACCTACTACACTTCTTCCATAGTGAGTACGCCAATTTGCATTCTCACTAGTTTCACTGTTTTTAATTTCTTCACATCTTAGCCAAAACTTAACATTTTACTTTTCTGATAATAGCTATCTTTATGGATATGAACTATCTCATTGTGGTTTTGATTTGCATTCCTGTAACAATTAGTGATATTGAGAATATTTTCATCTGTTTATTTGCCATTTATATATATTCTTTGGTGAACTGTCTATTCAAATAGACATTTGGCCCTTTTTAAATCAGGCTTGGGGTTGGAGGTGTGGCTCAAGTGATAGAATACCTGCCTCACAAGTGCAAAGTCTTGAGTTCAAACCCCAGTATCACCTCCTCCCCCCAAAAAAATTTAAATCAGGCTTGATTTGGGGAGGAGGAAGGGGCTTGTAGGAATTCTATTTCCTGAATGTTAATCCATAATCAAATAAGTAATTTGCAGTTCTGTGTGTGGCCTTGGTAGGTTGTGTGTATGTGTGGTGCTGACAATTGACCCCAGGGTCTCAGGCATGCTAGGTAAGTGTTCTACTACTGAGCTATACCCCCCAGCTCCAAAAGTATTCGATTTTGATGAGTCCATTTTATCTATTTTTTGTTGTTCTTGGCACCTCTGCCTTTGATATCATGTCCAAGAAATCATTACCAAGTCTACATTGTGCAGCTTTCCCTTGTTTTAGGTCTTATGTTTAGGTATTTAGTCCACCTTAAGTTAGCTGATAAAAATTTTACATGTAAATACCAAGTGTCCTCAGTACGTATGTTGAAAAAATTCCTTCCCCATTGAATTGTCTTGGCACCTTTGTTGTATATCATTTGAGGGTTTATTTCTGAACTCTAGTTCATTGGTTTATATATCTGACTTTATGCCAGTACTACACTGTTTTGGTTACTTTATCTTTGTACTCAGATTTTTGTTTTGATGCCAGGGATTGAACCCAGGGTCTCAAGCATGCTAAGTGCACAATACACTGAACCACAACTGCACTAGCTTTACAATCAGGGCAGGTGAGACCATCAACTTTGTTGTTCTTTTTTTTTAGAATTGTTTTAGCTGTTCAGGGTCCCTTGAAAGTCTGTATAAATTTTAGAGTGGGTTTTCTCTATTTCTTCATAAAACATTACTAGTTTTAATAAGGATTTCATTGGCATCTGTAGATTGCTTTGGATAGTATTAACATCTTAATATTGTCTTCCAGTCTATGAACTCAGGATATTTTTCCATTTATTGGGGTCTTTAATTTTTTTCAGCCATGTTTTGTAGTTTTGAGTTTTTGCCTCCTTTGCTAAGTTTATTCCTACTCTTTTTGATATTATTGTAAATGAAATTGTTTTCTTAATTTCCTTTTCAGATTGCTTATTAGTATTAGAAATGCAACTGATTTTTGATCCTGCAGCTTTGCCGAATTTATTAATCCTAACCATTTTTTTGGGGGGGTGGCATCTTGAGGCTTTTCTACATGAGATCATGTCTACAGAGATAATTTTACTTTTATTTTCTAATTTGGATGCCTTTTCTTTCTTTTGTGTAATTGCTCTGCCTAGAGCTTCCAATCTGTGTTGAATAGAAGTAGCAAAAATGGGCACTCTTGTTTTATGCTTGATCTTAGAGGAAAAGCTTACAGTTTTTTATCATTATGTTAGCTGTGTGCTTTTCTTATGTGGCCTTTTTTACATTGTGGTGGTTTAATTTTATTCCTATTTGTTGAGTGATTTTATTGTGAAAGGGTGTTCAATTTTTGTCATGCATCAATTCAGATAAACACATGGTTTTTCCTTTATATTATTAATATATGTAACGTTGAACCATCTTTGTATTCCAGGAATAAATCTCATTTGGTCATGGTGTATAATCCTTTTAATATGCTGCCAAATTTGGTTTGCTAATACTTTGTTGGAGACTTCAGCATCAAATGTTCACCAGGAATATTGGTCTATAGTTCTCTTGGAATGCTTTTGTGTCAGAGTGACATTGGCTTCATAGGAGTTAGGAAGTGGTCCTTCCTCTTTAATTTTTTGCAAGCTTGAGAATTATTCTTCCTTAAATATTTAGTATAATTCACAAGAAAGCCGTCTGGTACAGGGCTTTTCTTTGTTGGGAAATTTCAGTTACTAATTTAGTCCCTTTACTTGGACTTTGTTTCATGATTCAAACTTGGTGGGTTGTGTGTCTCCGGGAATTTGTTCTACCTAGGTTATCCATTTATGGGTGTTGATCAGAGCACTCTTATAATCTTTTTATTTCTCCTAAATTGATAGTAATGATCCTTCTTTCATTTGTTTTTAGTTGAGCCTTTTCTTCATAATCTTAAGGATTTGTCAATTTTGTTACTTTTTGAAGAACTAAATCTTGTCATTTTTTTTCTTTCTTATTCTTTCCTTCCTTCTGCTACTTTTGAGAATTTTTCATTCCATAGTTTGCTTTTCTGTTTTTCAGTACTGAGGTTTGGGGTCAAGGCCTTATTACTCTTGCCCCTAGTCAGGCTCTTACCACTTGAGCCTCACCACAGGCCCCCTCATTTCTTAGTTCTTTACAGTATAAATTCAGCTTGGTGAGTTGCAATTTGTTTTTAATGTAGACATTTATATCTATAAAATTTCTCTTAACAGTGCTTTTCTATAACCCAGAAGTTTTGGCATGTTAATTTTCATTTGTCTCAAGATATTTTCTATTTTCCCATGCGGTTTCTTCTTTGACCTATTATGAAGAGTGTGTTTAATTTCCACATACTTGTAAATTTTCCCATTTTCTTGATTTCTAGTTTTATTCCATTGTGATCAGAAAACATGTTTTGTGTGATTTTACTCTTTTAAGATTTAAGGCCTAATAAATTATCTATCCTAGAAAATGTTCCAGGTACACTTGAGAAAAATGTGTATTATACTTTGGGTAGAATGTTCTGTTAATGTCTATTGGGTCCAGTAGATCTGTAGCATAGAGTAGAGTCTTTCCTTATTGAGCTCATTGTTCTATCCATTATAGAACATGGGATATTGAAGTCTATCATTATACTGCTGTTTTCCCCTTAAATTTTTAGTGTGCTTCATTCATATTTAGAGTTCTGAAGTTTGGTGCTAATGTGTAAATTGTTCCATCTTCTTAGTAAGTTGACACCTTTGTCCTTATATATTGTCCTGTGCCTCTTATAAAACTTAAGTCTTTGTTGGTATTGATAAAAGCCAGGAACAGAGACCATTCATAGCTCTTTGAGAAATTTCTATTAACATATCCTAAAGCTAGGTGAGATAAAATCAGTAACACTAAGATGACTTAGCCTTAAAATAGGAAAGTGGTATCTGCTTTCTCTCTGAGTGTGAAGGGGAGCTGGATGGGCACAAACAATGATATAGGTGGGAACTGAGTGTGGAGTGTGCTTAGGCCTGTGCCTCAGAGGCATTTTGGTGAATGAGTCGAGTGGCCCTCTTAAGAGGGTTTGAGCAGGATCTAGGAAAGAGGTATAAGATAGGATGTAGGGGGGAGATATTTTCCAAATTTTGTGGGACTGGGATTTGAACTCAGGACTTCAAGCTTACAAAGAAGTTGCTTTCCCACTTGAGCTACCTCCAGTCCATTTTGCTCTGGTTATTTTGGAGATGGGGGGTCTTGTGAACTATTTGCTGGGGCCTAACCTTCAATTTGCAAGCCTCCCAAGTACCTAGGATTACAGGAATGAGCCACCAGTGCCTAGCTAAAAAGAAAAAATTTTTTTTTTTTTGGTGGTGCTGGGGTTTGAACTCTAGCACTTGCTAGACAGGCGCTTTACTACTTGAGCCATGCCTCCAGCCCAGGTTATTAGTCACAGGGCTACAAGGAATAAGCAAGCTAGTTCCCAAATTCAGACCAAGAAAAGTGCCCTAGACCCTAAGCAGACTTCCCTGCTTCTCTCCTTTTAATATATGACTTGGCTTTTTTCAGTACAAATACCTAAAATGTAAAAGTGAACCACATGTTAAGATTGAAGGGAAGGATACTGATGACTGGCTCTGTGTGGACTTTGGTAAGTTATTTTGGTATATTTTATAAGTATTGATAGTGTACTAGTCTTGAATTGTTTTGAGCTCCAGAAAGATTGAAATAAAATTACTGGGTGTATTTCCATGAAAGTTCTTTGAAATTTGTGTCAAGTAACAACAGTTTTACTTAATTAATTATGTAACTCAGGTATCTTATTCACATGTGAAAACTTTATCTGACCAAAATACCCTAGATGATACTTTCCTGGAGGAAGACATACTATAAGGTATACATGTGACTAGCCACACAGAGCTGCAAAGTTGTGGGGTGTGATGGGTGTATGTAATGTTGGCCATAACTCAAATGAGAGAATACTGAGATTTTGAAAAGATTCAAGTTCAGGTATTAATGTGCATGTCTCCCACCAAGATATTACAAAGAGAAAAACAGTAACTATCTCTCAAGAATCAAGAGATCTGAGATTTTATCCTACTTGTAAGCCAGCAGGTTGTTCTAGTTTCATGGATACTGACAGATGACATAAGACTACTATACTATCATTAATTTTGCCTTGGTTCCCTGAATCCAAAATCCTATAAGGCAACACAGAAACCATATGACATAAGTACACAGTTGTAAGAGAGGAACTCTAAGACTAGGGTGTCTTTTATAATTAGTAGGAAACAGGCCTGCTTTTCCTCTGGTGGGAGACATCAAGATTATAAGGCTTGGAGTTCCTCAGCTTTGTCACTATGAGTATGTTGGATCTTTATTGTGAGCTTAGGGGTATCTTGTGTATTGTAGGCTGTTTTAGCAGTGTCCTCTCTAGTTGTGACAATCAAAAAATGTGTCTACGCATTACTCATGTTGTTCCAGACTGAGAACCACAGCTGTAAGCAAAGCTGCTCTTTGTTCTAGAGGAAGATACTGTCTTTCTACTAAAACTATAAACAGTGTATGGCCTTACCTATAAATATCTTTGAAAAAAACAGTCCAGAACCAAAGGCAAGCAGTCAATACTTTCTTTGCTCACAAGATGTGTACCCCTGGAGAACTGTATCCCAAAACAGACTACCTTTATTCATTTGGATAAAGTTTACATTCATGCTGATATGTACCTCTGGGCTGATGGATATACTAACAAAAGCACAGCACTTCAATGGTATTTTTTTGCTGGGATGAGGTTCACAATTATTTAGCCTTTTATTAAGAAGTTTCCAGGTGCTACTAATGTAAGGACCACTGCTCGTGTCCAGACTCTTAATAGTAAACACAGAGGATTGTGAGTACACAGGAATAAAAAGCAAATGAACTGTTTCTTCATTGTAACTCTTGTTTGTCTCTGATAGGCAGCATGGTGATTCATTTGATGCTTCCAGAAACCAGAGAAACCTATGAATTAGAGAAATTATGGACCCTACGTTCTTATGATGACCAGTTAGCTCAGATAGCACCTGAAACATTACCTGAAGACTTCATTCTTGGAATAGAAGATGACACTTCATCTCTGACTCCAGTGGAGTTCAAATGTGAATAAAACTAGAACTGCTTTAGACATTTCAGACTTGGATTGAGTCACTTCTTGGAAAATACCAATCCTAGGCTTCACATCAGTTAGGTTGACACTGGAACAAGCATTGTTTACCTCATGGGCACTCATACTGATGTGTGGAGTATATATAAATGAGTTAACATTACTGAGATCCCAGCAGGATTTCCTGGCCTTAGCATTGGTGCCTGGGATTAATGTAAGCCCTCTGCTCAGATTTTTATAAACTGCCTAAATGCATCGCCATCCACTGATCTATTACTTTGAGATAATAGAAGACAGTAGTAAGTACCAGGATATTCTTCTATACTCTTTCACAATCCTCCAAATGACGGAAAGCAAATGTTAAGGAAACTCTTGGAACCTGTAGTTCTTAAGTTCATATGCAAACGGTATAGTCAGTGTTCATACTAATGTATCAGGGCTGGAGAAAATAATGTACCACTAAATATTTGTTCAAGTTTGTAGAACAAATTCAAAATGCTCATACCCATCTGAAAACATACTACACAACAAGCTGTACCTAATGATGAAAAACTTTATTTTGCATCAAGGTATCTGGAATATGAAGCTGCATTGGGGGCACATTATAGATGAGGAATGATCCATATGGTGAGTACAAAATTCAATTACAGAATTATTCTTAGTACCAGATACTCCAAATTATCAACGCTTAAAGTGAAAGTAAAACATGATTTGCCAAGCTAAAAGGCTAGAAGTGAAATATGGCAGAATTTAAACCAGCAGATATAAATGCAGCACCTATCAGTATTTTTGAAAAATCAAATATTGAGGAAGAACTCTGGCCTCAAACACATCTCACCTGAAATTCAACCAGAAAGCCGGTTCATGATTTTTTTTAAAGCAATTTAAATTCATTGTATGAAAACAATTATGAATGCCAGATGAATTCAGTGACAAAAAATGGGCGCTTTTTGACTAAAAACTACAAAATAAACTGGTTTTCTGGAAATATTTAGGAAAACATTTCAAATCATTTTCAAAATGCCTAAACTTGCCTATTCTGTGTAGAAATTAATCTTGAAATACAAATGAGGCAAAATGATTTTAGAGGGTTACATAATGCCCTTCAGTGTAATGGGGTGACTGTGATCATTTTATGAACAAAAGCAACACAAAAACAATTCAGAGAGCAGCGTGGCCTTGGGGCCACCCGCACCCACACAATTGTACATCCTGGGCTTTGCCATCAAGTTAAGGAATGGGTAAAGAGTTCAATATCAACAGTCAGGTGTTTTCACAGTCATCCAAAGTATATTACCAAAACGGTTTCCTTGCATTCTCTACCTTTTGACTTATTTTCAATAAGTGTTTGCAGGGTATACAGAAGTCCTGCTAAGTTCTATGTAGTATTTAGGTGGACTACTTAAAAAACATCCATTGCTTAAAAGTCTTCAAAATAGCTTAGTAAGGCTTGTGACAGTGCCAGGCACAAGGAGATGTAGCTTTTCTACATATACGCTATCTCTAACTGTCCCATTGGCCTTCACAAAGCAGTTCTTTTGGAATCTGTTCCAAGTGTAGATCAATGAGTCTAAACTGTATTGGTAAATTAAGCATCCTATAAGACAAGTTGAAGCTTGCTTTTTGCCTGTTTAAATCCTGCATTTCTTCATCTGTGCACTTTCTTAAGGTAGTGATAGTCAAAAGCACAAAGCATTTATGCATTCACATAGCTAAACAAAAATCCTGAAGTCTCCTGAAGCCATTTAAACTAGCCATTCCAAAGCCTCCTGCCACCACTTTGCTCTGTTAGTACATCAAAAACCTTCCCAACTATAAAACAAAGGAATAAATGGTATTGCTGCTCTCCAAATATAGGCACTGCTCCGTATCTTTGAACATGTGTTGGATTTTCTAACTAATGACTGTGTCAGAAGCCTCCAAAACCCCGAAATTAATTTTCCAGCTTTACTGTCACCAGCCAGAAGTAAAATTCCTTTCTCAATTATTTGCCCGTTAGCTGATAGATGTTAAGTTTTAATTTTTTAAAAAACGGTTGGACTTTTATAAAGTATATAAAACTTTCAAAAAAAGGAACAATTTGCTTTTCACTGTATTACTGAATACCTGAGGTAGTTGAGTAAAAATGCACATTTAATACCCCTGCCAACACCGTTCAGCACTTCCCTTATGTTATTCATGTTAGTGTTAGATAAAAAATAAAACAACAGTTTTTCTAAGCTAATGGCTTAACATTTAAGTTCCTGTGATGGTTCTATTCTGATCCAATTTTAACAATTGGATTTAGGAGCAATCTATTCTTAATTTATCCATTTGACAAATTTATTGACTACGCCATTTAAGCCAATTTTGGCATTATGGGGGAATATTAAGAAAAATTAGAATAATTCATTATACTGTGAGACTACAAAGGGAAGTACAGAGCTCTTCTCTTTCCCTCCCTCCCCCATTTTTTTTTTTTTAAAGCTGGGTGTCATACATTTCAGAGAGCATAAAGTATACATTCTCACAGAGACAGGAGTTCAAAAGTTGCCTGGTCCTCAGAAACAACTGGCTAGGTAAAAACTTGTGCATGTGATTCTGGATGGGGTCAGCACCCGTCTGTTGGTTAAGCAATCTGTCTTTGGTTTGGCATCTGCCTCTGTGGTGGGCTGTTTCCTGAGCCTTTACTTCCGCCTTGACTGAGGTGGTCCACTTTGTAGGGCCTTCTGCTGTTGATGCTGCTTTACCTGAGTCAGAATTTCCTGAATTTTTCTCTGGGCAACCTACAAAAAGACAAGAGCTTTGAAAAATCTACATGATCAAAAGTTATTTTACTCTTCCATTTTAGCAACTTCAAACATGAAAATCCATTTGAAGAGGAGTGAATATGTACATTTGAAGAGTAGAGATAAATACTAATCAGTCTGCAATCACCTGCTAAAAGGGAGCCTAAATGTGTTAAGCTGCCTGGCCTAGTGGCACACATCTAAAATCCCAGCAATTCTGGAGGTAGACGCAGGAGGATGGAGAGTTTAAGATCAGCAGAAAAAGTTAGTGAGAACCTATCTCAGAAACAAAATACAAAACCAAAAGGACTGGGGTATGGCTTAAAGTAGAGAGTTTACCTACCATTTGCAAGGCTCTGGGTTCAACTCCCATTTCCACCACTCCCCCGCAAAAAAAAAAAAAAAAAAAGTTAAGCATTAGTGAGGCATAGTGGCACATATTTTTAGTTCCTACTGCTCCAGAAGCTGAGATAGAAGGATCACTTGAGCCCAGTGGTTCCGGGCCAGCCTGGGCAACACAGAAAGCCTTGTCTCTTTTATAAAAAAAAAAAAAAAAAAAAGTGAAGCATTCAATACCCCTTAAATATTTGGAGTGGGAACACCACTGAGAGAATTACTTCCATTTGAGAGAGAAGCAAAAGAGCTTGCTTGTTAGAGCCCACTTGCCTGGCAAGCATAGAAGTGACCAGTTATTTTGACAACAACTTGGTCATTCTCATCAGGTGTCTGGTCACGAGGGACAACGACTTCAGCACTTGACAAATTCTGGAGTTCATTCACCTGAAATAAATACAGATCATACTACGTGGTATTAAAAAATAAAACCTATTTCCTGAGCACTTACTATGCTCCAGACTCTGAGGTATGGTTTTAAAATTTTCATTTAATCCACTAGTAGTTCCATTAACTTAAGAGTATCATCTACATTTTGAGATAGCTAGAAGTAACATTCATCAAAAGAAACTGATTTGCCCATACACACAAGTGAATGGCAAGCCAGTTTCAAATCCTGAAAATCTGATTCCAAACTGCTCTCAATTACTTCAAAATTGTGTATAGTTTTGGAAATGAGTTAGAAATTATATTAGGTAAAGATGAGAAACCATTTGCTTTTTTTCAGTTGTAGATGAAATTAAAAATGTTTTTCAGTTCATGTCCTTTAGTGTCTGTGCAATAAAAGTTAAAATCTAAGTTATATAGACAGAATAGTGCTGAATGCCCCTGACAACTATGGGACAGTTCCCTTACTCAAAGCATTACTTTCATACGCAGCTGACACCAACATGCAAGGAACAATAGGCAATCAGTCTTCTCCAAACCTTGGTCAAGATGGTCTTGCTTTTTATAAATTAGCCAAAATTCAGGGACTTGGAACTCCTAAGTACCTTTCAACGCTTTCCCTTTCATACCACTGCACAGGTTTTGCTGAAGTACTTGCCGTTTTGCCTCCTTTTCCAATAACTCTGCCAGCAGCAAAGGATGGCACTCTGATATGAGCTTCCAGTTTCACCTCTTCTTTAGGACTAACAAAGTTTTCTTCTTTAATTTTTCCATAAATTCTTCCCTGAGCCTACAGATGAGAATATATCCTTATCAGTGTCCTTCATATTTGAAATACAAAAGGTCAATTAATGTTAAAGTTGGCCTCCATCCACCTGGAGGTGGCAGACCATTGAAGAAAGCATAAGACAAAGAAGCTAGGGACCCTGGAAAGAGTGAAAAATGCATGCATCATAGGCAAGGCAAGACAAGTGAATGCTAAGAAGGACAGTTATATTCTTCTGATGAAAACAGCTAAGGGCAATTGGTAGTCAAAATAAAAAAAATAATCCTGACAGGTAAAATGACTCCTCTGGAAATGAGGAATTAACATTTTTCTTAAGCAAAACAGACTAGGAAAGAATGACACAGACAGCAATGCCAGGGTCACAGAGAGCCAAGCTCTTGTCTAAGTAGGCCAGTTAGAAACCTACTCAGAGGGATATTTTCTATTTAAACATGTTTCTTAATCTTTAGCCAGGTGATTTATGTGTTTTAAAGAGGCTACAAAAATCCAGTAGCCACACATTTCTGATACTTAAAACCAACAGACTCTTATCACCTACTGCATAGCACTATGTATTATATAAGAAACCTATTAAGTCAATTATTAATTTGTTCTGATACACACCAAAGGAAAAAAGAAGTCTCAGAGTTGGGCTATCCTGACAATAAAGACAAAATTCCCACCACATTGTCAGTGGTACAGAAATGCTAAATTCATTTTAGGAGATTACAGAAAAGACAGAATTCACCGATACACTAGATTCCATTCATCCTTAATGCCTCAGGCCACAGAGATAGGTATTACTTAATCCAGGCCAAGGATAGGAGGATATACACTATCCTCCAAAACAGAAGCTCTTAAAAACCATGGATTAAGAGGTTAACTACTCCTAAGAGCTCCAAAATAAAACATTCATTTGGAATTACCACTGATCACATTAAATGAGAACCATCATAGCTTGTCTTAAGTGTTACTTTTAACATAACTGTACAATGTGGAGATTTGAGGATACAGGTAAATAACTGAATTTTCCATTATATAAGCATAGCAATTGCAAGGCAGCAATTCCACTTATAAAAGCATAAAGCTCAGCACCAAGGACAAACATGAAATAACCAATGTTTATATTTGAAGATTCCAGGCTAAAGTGCTGACTAAAAATTCAATACAGGAAACAACAAAAAATTTTAAGGAAATGTTGAAAGTTGTTTGTTTGTGGTGCTAGGGATTGAACCCAGGGCCTCTTGCATGCTAGGTACAAATTCTACAGCACTGCCAAAACAAACAAAGGATTCAGGGATGACTGGGGTGACATGTAGGCAATGTTACCAGACATAGTTTAGAGCTAAGGAAACTTAAGGCATATAAGTAGCTGTCATATGACACAGCTGCTAAGTGGTAGGTAGGACCAAGTTAAGGCTTTTTTATTAATAGAATTCTGTAGGTTTTTTTTTTCTTTTTAAATGCTCGATAAGTGAATACTGTACCACTTTGCTACAGCCCTCAACTCCACTAGTGCCTTTTATCTAAGACAAAATGTTCCACACTAAATTTTTACGTGAGAAATCATACACTAAAAAGAATGTACTTGTGAATTTGACACGATCTGAATCGCCCAGAGTTGGTTGAACATCACCACCACCAGCACACTAATACTGTGCTGCTTATGTTTTAGGCACTATTCTAAGCACTGTATAGATTGTTTAAACTTTACAACTACCTTAGATATAAATACTCTCATCTTCACTTTATAGACCAGTCAGAAAAGTAGCTTGCCCTAGGTCACACGGCTAGTAAATGACAGTGCTGAGATTTAAACCAACATCCTGGCCACTGAGTCTCATCTGTTCATCACCCTGCTACACCACTTCTCAGCCCCAAAGGTCCCAAACTACACGTACAGTAGTTCACATCAGGTCAAATGTCCCTAAGAGCTTCTTCCATTCCTATCTCTAAAATCCCAAGGAGTAGAGTGATTTGTAGAGAGTCTACAGGCAAGGGCTAATGGTCAATTCTATCCTAAGAGGAATTGGGGCCATTTTGATTCAAGGTTACAGTATTTCAGAGATGGAAGGGAAAAATATGCGAATAAGTTTCCAAGGCATATTAACTAGGCAGGTTTGTAAATTTCAGTCTTAAGGTCTTACCTTCACAAATAACAGAACAAACCTTTGGGAGACAGGTAAACCCAACAATCATTGCAGAACTCCCCAAATTAAAGGTTTTGGTTTATGCTTGAAATGTAATTTTGGGTATGGTTCCACTCTGATCTTAGATATGAATTTCCGTTGATACTACTGATTATCAGACACCTTTAGAGAAGAAGCCAAGTTATGGAGTTCTCAGAAGATAGCATCATTGTTCTCCCTATAATCTGTTACCTATACACACATGGTAGAGCACATACCTTGAACTGAGCCTCTGGTGGTCCAGTGATAATGACCATCCTCACTTTAGCATCTGGCGCTTCAGCTGGAGCAATCTGTAACAGACCCATCACCAATTGGTTATGATACTTTCACAGGTGTCATTGACAGAGAATCCTTAGGCCACCAGCTTGACAGCTGTACTTGACTGAAATGCAAAATTAAAAGCCTTGTGGAAAGAAATTATGCAGACTTAGTGACTAATCTGGCTTTAAATCAGGTAAGGTCTTCCATGCTACAACTGTAGATATACTGCCTGGTTCATAATCAAGGCAGCTACTGGAGCCAGAGGAAGAACTGGGCATTTCTGTTGCCTGTGCTCCTAGTCATGATACCAGGGGTACTTGAAGTGTGCTCCTTGGGCCACTTGCACCAGAACCTCCTGGGTTTTCTATCATAGAGATAACACTCCAGGAGACTAGGCACCCTGTCGAGAATCCTGGGCCTTTTCTAATTTTCAGAGGAAAGAGCACAGCTTTTTAATAGTGCCAAGATTGCTGAACCCCTTTTATTTAATTTAGAAAAGCTCTGGATTTCTTAAAGCCAATATACTATTTTTTTTCCTGAGTTCACAAATCTATTAGCAAATCTATTAGTAAACTGTCCCCAAGTATACTCATTTTAGTAACATATGAAAATGAATAAACATTAACTTAGCAAGAGAAAGATAAGCTCAGACTTTTCTATTTCACAAAGTATATGAAGCCTCACAAAAAAGCCCAGGCTGGGAAAATGGTTCAGAAACTGTTTGTAGGAAGAGGAAACTAGCATTTCTGTGTGGTAACTGGAAGACAATATTTGGGGACCTAACTGGTAGGAAGTATCTTAAAATTAAAAAAAAAATTGCTAGAAACTTGGAGTACAAAAAAATTGTTAGTGTAGTTTTTTTTTTTTTTTTGATACAGGGTCTTCACATGTAGCTCAGCCTGGCCTTAACTCATGATCCTCTTGCCTCAGCCTCCTGAGTGCTGACATTTCAGGCATGGACTACTGTGACCAGCTTCTTAGTATGTAAATCAAATAAAACATTACTGTGTAAGAAGAGGAAGAAAGAAATACAAATCATCCCAAATTCCACCACTGAAGATGACCACTGCCAGTTACTTGACAATCTTCTACATCTTTTCTACATGTTTACATCAAAAACTTTATTTTAAGTGAAGTTCTGATTTCTCCCTCCTTCAAAACAAACCTAACATTTCTGCCACCTGAAGCCAAATTGAAACCTTGATACCATTCCCACTTTATGCAGGGCACTGACTAGTTTTTAGTTTGTAAAACAGTTAAGTACTTCTTTTTAGTTCAGGCTCTTAGGGTTATTCATCATAAACCACTGTAAAGAAGACAGCATTCTTCAACTTCTTATCTACTTAAAACAAAACAAACCAAAAAAAACTATGTCAATAGTGGTGGTAGAGGGCTAGGGCTAAAGGCACATTTTCATTGAAGTAGGAAGTACAAACTGCTATTATCTCTCAAAGCCTGAAAAAAAGTACAGGTCTTTTGACCAACCATACTTCTTTCTGTATGCTTATGTTAAAGAAATAAGATTGTATGCCATATTTTATTTATCATAGCACTGCTTATACAGAATAAGTTAGGAATAATCTAAATGTCAAATAAGTGACCACAAATGACTGTAGTTGGTGATATCAAATAATATATGCCTAATAAAGCAATGCACATATATGGAAATTTACCCTAACAGAAACCTAAACCAAGTATTAAGAGTGGTTCTAAATCTTTTACATTATGCGTTTTAGACTTTTGGGGAAACCAAAACATTTTTCATTCCTATTAGAACACCTTCAAGAAGACCAGAAAGAAGAACTGAACTTCTAATACCCAATTCTTATTCTTGTTCATTGCAGTTTTTCCAAAATGGGTATGAGCATGTGTCAATTTATTTACTTACTTTCTGGTGTTTGAGCTCTGTGGCCTTATGCTTGCTAGGCAGGCTACTCTCCCACTTGAGCCATGACTCCTTCATAAAGGCAAGAAAAGAGTCAAGAAACTAGCTAACATAGTAAAGCCAGTTTACCACTTGATCTTCTGCCATCTTTTCCTTTACCTACTTGTTCATGGATTTTGTTGCTTTTTGTTACAAGAGTATATAAAGGCTATTTCTGTTTTGATTTTTAATTATTTAATTTACATACAATAAAATTTACTTTTTGTTGTCAGGTTCTGTGAGGTGACAAGTGCATAGTCAGGTAACACGAACACCATGATGAAAATACAGAACAATTCCATGACCCTCCCAAATATCAGGCAGCCTCATTATGTTCAGTCCATACCCTCCTCTAATTCCTAGTAACCACTGAATTCTTTGCTCTCCTTATGGTTCTGCGTTTTCCAGAATTATCATATAAATTGAATTATACAACATGTGGTCTTCTGAGTCTGCCTTTTTTCACCACAATACGTGAAGTTTCTTCCAAATTTGCTATTGTCAACAGTTGGTTCCTTTTTATTACTCGGTAGTGTTTACTGTATAGATGGACCACACTATCTATTCACCAGTTGAACAGTTGGTTTCTTATTTTAGGACAGTTATATCAATAAAGATGCTGAAAACATTTAACTGCAGGGTTTTTGTGTGTGTGTGTGACCTAAGTTTTCATTTCTTTGGATAAATATTCTTCAGTGGGATTTATGGGTTGTAGTGGTAATTGTAATTTTTTTTAAAAAGGTTTATACATCAAAATCTTTCATTGGGGGTGGTGGAGTGGTTCAAGCGGTAGTGCACCTGCTTAGCAAGTGTGAGGCCCTGAATTCCAGCCCCAGAGCTGCTCAAAAAATCATCTCTCATAGACTGATGTCTTCCTGAAGGAAATTATGAATATACCAAGCCTCTGTGGACCTTTGTGTTCCTTAAAGCAATCTTTTGTTTAGCCTCAGCACATTGAAATACAGAATCTGTAATGTACAGTAGTCTCTGATAGCAATGTTAGTTGCCTCTGGTATTTGTTACCCTACTGTCTATAATAAGAAAATGTTTAGCTGACAATACAGGCAAGATTTCCCTGCTGCTCCTTTAGGTTTGGCCAAGTTCTGAGGATGGAATATAGGTAGAAATATCCTGTATTAGCCAAGAGGAAACTTCCCAATTACAAAGGCTTTGTTGGGTCCTCTCCCAACTGGCTGGACAAACAGACCTGACAAAGCACTGACTCATGTCATCTGGGATCATGTAGGTTCAAGGTCATACCTAGCTAGGGAAGTTGGTAAGCCCAAGGCTGTGGTGGGGCAGTGCCATCATCTGATTTTGCTGGAGAGAGAAGTTAATTCACCTTATTTAAGCCATTGTTGGGGTTTTTCTGTCCTAGCCTATGTAACCCTAAGACAGCCTGTCACTTTCAATTCAAATTATAAAGAGCAAAGAAGATTTATCTTTCTGTAACTTGCTTCAAGAACCAGAGAGCCATGGTTGGCAGAACAGTACCTTAATTGAAGCGCCTGCAAAACGAGAAAGCTGTTTGATGTGTTGGCCCTGTTTGCCAATAATGGCGCCAACTGAAAGGGCTGGGATGAACAGGTGCACAGTCTCCGTTTCAGATTGCTGTTAGAATTATATGGAAAAAAATCATCTTTAGGATGAGCACATTCTCAGACTAGAAAAGTTATAGGGAAAACTACAATAAGTTAACAAGAATTTACCTAACAGGTCAGAAGGTCCCATATATATTCATTCTGAAAGCATTTGTATTTTGCATTTCACTTTTCTATATACAATTTTGTTAAAATTCAAAATGTCACTGAATAAATTTAAAAGATACAGGCATTATAAAGTTAAACATTAGAAGGACAGCTTGCATTAAAAATTAAGAGCTTACCACCACTATATGCAAGGTAGTCTCTTGACAAATTCAGGACTACGTATCAACAAACAAGGCAGCATTGAAGAGCACCAATTCCATACCTTCTCTATGTAGGCTTCACTTCTTAAACATATATATAGTGAACTATTCTCAAGAGACTGAATATCATATATTAATTAATTGCATTATATTCCACACAACACACACAAATATAGGACAGGATTAGGAGAACTCATTTACTTTAGTCATAAAATGCTTTAAAATACTTTCCCCCTATAATTCTTTATTCTCCCTTCCCTCTGCATTTTACACATAATTGGAAACCATTTTGAAGGTTGACTCCTGAAAGGTTACGCATAACTGGATTTCATCTGTGCATTTCATTCCTTTACCACCTCATGCCACCCTGCCCTTCTGAGTCTCTTCACACAATTATTCTCGCAGGGCTAAAGGACACATTCACTCAAGAAAAGAGTGAGTGACTGGCCAAGTCTAAGTTTAGTGAACGACAAGTTCTAAAATGCAGAAGTAGGGCTCATATTCACAGGTTATACTTTACCTTCTAACAATAGTAAGAAAAATACTTCCAAGGAAAAGTTGATTCCAAGAACTGTATTTCAAGAGGTATTTTAAGACAAGCCACAAATGAAAATACCAAGTAAGGCAGATTATACATTTGAAAAAACTGTATGCATGTAATAAATTAATGTTCTAGGGGCATTCTATTTGAAATAAATTTATATATGAATGGTTTGGTAAGAAAATTAAATATTTCACAGAATTCTCTCAAACCTTCTCTTATTCCTGATACATATATGGATATACCATGAATTCAGCTCCCAAGTACTCAAATCAATCCAATACTACCATGTACACTTACTGCCACAAAATTTCTCCTAATTTCTCATTTTTAATCTAAACACTTTTCAAATTCCTAATATCTTAAAAGTAGGCCAACAGTTTTGCTTTCCAAAGTCTCACAAACCCAGGAAATACTTAGAATTTGATTATTTTAAACAGTATTTGAAAATTTTGGTCAAAGAAAATAGTAACAGTGGGTGATAACATTTTTGTTGGCTATATAAACAAACTTTATGCCATTTAATGTTGAGCTACCAAATGACACCACTTTTACCATTACTAGTGGCATTAATGTCGTATCCTCTTCCTGTGAGCCCAGACTAGAGGCAGAGAACAGGGCACAAGGCACCACAAGTCCATGGCAAGGTACTACTACTGGCAGAACTCCGTATGTGGATGAATAAGCTAATCCACTATCCCTCAACATGGATGTATCAGAGGCCACTTACAGGTCAGTTTACTCACACTGCTTGGTAAGAATTTTAATCACATGGATTTAAGTCTGAGATTCTTTTCTGTAGACTCCGATCTATGACATTTACAGGTTAAAAAAAAAATCCCATCTGAAAAAATTTTGAGCCAGATCTTATTGCTATTTAATTTAAAATTTTCAAAACAATACTATTATCCTTAAAGTAATGATTCAGTTTTTGCCTAATTGTTTGAATTTGCTTTTGTTTCTTGGTCTTTTAAGACAAAGTCTCAAACACACTCTAGAAATAACAAAATACAAGGAGTAACTTGTGTCTGCTTACAAATAAAATGGAAATGAGAAATATCTAGATAGGATAAAATTAAAGTACCATAGAATGTAAATCTGAAATTGTCAAAAATTTGCCCAGGAATTTCCAAAGTCAGTCAGAAAAACTTACACTGGGCAGATAACTTACAACTCCACAATCAACTAATTACCTAAATAAAGTTCCAAGCCCAAATAGTGATACTTACTAGTTCTTTAAAGCCACATGCTTAAGAAGAATGGCAACATTTAGTAAGAAGACAGATGTGAAACCAGGAACTTCAAGAAAACAAATAGGCATAGTACAAATTTAAATTTGTTTTTCCTTAATACACCTTGAATATCTTCTCATATCATTCACAAGTCACTCTACTGGTAGAGTATTCCCTCAAATAGATAAATCCAAGCTGCTTTATCTTATCCCTACAGCACATGTATAGTTTCTAGTTTTCAGCTAATTCACATAACGCTTCAATTGAATATACACAAATTTCTGTTTCCTTGTTCAAATACCTCTATGGCATGTATTCTTAGAAGCAGAACTGCTAGGTTGAAGGGCCAGAGCATTTAAAATTGATAAATACCGAGCTGAGCATGGTGACGCACACCTACAATCCCTGAGGCTGAGGCAGGAGGCTCACTTGAGACTAGCTTGGGCGACATAATGAGAGGAGTGGGAAGTGGATAAAGAGTATGCTAAGGTACAATTTGGGTTAGGAGGGAAATAACATGAGGGAACGGTACATGGCAACTGTGTGGTGAGATCAGTTAAGAGTTTCCTCGGTGTGCAGGGCTGTGTGTGATCTCATTTACACCTCACAGTTGATCCAACTGATAGAAAATACCAACACTCTCATTTAGAGATGAGAAAACCGAGTCGGAGTGGTGCCCAAGGTCACACTGTGACAGGTGGTGGAGCAAGAGTCAAATTTAGTTTCTCTCCTAAGCACAGTTCTCAAAGAAACATTAAGTATCATCCTTTCAGCAGATACAGAAGTGCTTTGAAATGACCCAAAGCTGTGGAAAATACAGACAGAGCTCTTAAGAAAAATGCTCAGTAGAACTCTCGTTTGAGGTGGGGCAGTTTTCCCTGTCTGGCTTTAATACGACTTCCTATGAGTCAAGGGTATTTCTTGTGTGTAACTGAAAAACCTTAAACCTTTGATTAAATGCTAAAAAGGGCATGTAGAGATAGTCCATTACAAGTTTTCTTCATTTTGAAGAGTAAGATTACTAAAAATTAATGATGTTCTACAGGAACAAAGAATGTACTGTAAAAGTAATGGCTTTGTTGTCTCAATTGCACACACCTGTAACTTCCGTATGCTTGAGACTTTGCAACTTAAAACTACAGAGCTTCAATTCCTTTATCTTCATCTGACACCCTAATTATTTTGCTATATCTAAAGGTACTTTCATAGAGACCTTTTGAGAGTTCAGTTTCCAATGGGTTACTAATTCTATTTTTATAAAATAATGTAAGCAAATCTTTGTGCTCTTCTATGACTTTTAAGAATTTATGTTTAGAATTAAGGCTCAAAGAGCACACATATTTAAAATTGACAAGATATTTCCAAATTATTGTGCCAATAAATTTTATTTTATGGTCAGTTTATAAAGGGAAAATCATTTAGTACAAATCATGCTTTTCACTTATATGAAAAATGAAGCAATGTATTATTCTGGACCTGAGGCCTAGTTTCTTACAAATGAAGATCCATTTAAACTGTGTTATTTGTGTCTTCCTATCCTATTTAATGAAGAGTTAACCCAAATTAAAGTTCAGTAAATATCCCTGACTTGTCTCTAATCATTGGACTTTGTTTCTTTGCATGTATATAGGCAAGATGTGCTAAATTTCTACAATGTTTTTCATAACTTGATAAAGCTCTTTCGGGTCCTCCATGTTTTCCAGGACAGTGCACATACTGAAGACATTAAGACAGCTGTCAATTAAATGAAGTCCTTCTTGTACCCCTATAAGTTTTTAGAACAAACACACCAGAAACAGGAACTGCCGCCTCCTCACTAAATTCTCAACTGGAAAGATTTGTGATAGGGCCTGTCCTGCCTAGCTTGGCCAACACTTCTGTTGCATTTAATCAGCAAAAGATACCCTTGGAAGTACTTCTTCAGTACTTCCAAGTCATAGAACTACACAATCTCTGATGTTATACAGTCACCCGAAACCATTTATTCCTCATAGGCTTTCTTATTTTATAGCTGGATATGTCAAGTGAATTAATGCTGACATTCATCATAAACTGTGCTCAATGTTAGCATTATTTTGTCATCTTGATCCTTTTACCAAGACCATTTAAGTTAATCCTGACCTTTTTTTAAAAAAGTAGAATCTAAATATTCTTACTAAGAGCATCCATATCATGTTGTTCTAAATAACAGGTGTACATTTTTTGTTGTTTTTCACTGGGGGATGATAAAGACCTTTTAATGGGGGGAGGGGTAAAGGAGAAAGATGGAGGGGGGAGTTTGATATACTGTAAGAACTTTTGTGAATGCCACAATGCACCTCCCCCCCCACCCCCACACAACAATACTTTTTCTAAAAAACAAACCTTCTAAATGGTTGGACTAATTCTAAAGTATAACTAGGTCAGATCTACCATCATGACTATGCAATTATTTGTTCTTGGGCCTTGTTTCAGAAAGAATTTTATGCTGCTTATTAAATACACATAATCTAGAAAAATAAAACAATGAACTATGAAGAAATCAAAGCATCAGGACCTGAACAGTAATTATAAGGTGAAGCCAAAAATGCTGTTATTACACAAATCTGGCTCCAAGCTTCCTTACTGCTAATTTAAAAGAAAAAAAAGAAAAAAGTCACACAATTCACCCAGTCTATAAAAGAAAAACTATTCACTTGCTTAGTAAAAACTCCTTTTTCTGGTACTGAGAAGGCAACTTTTAAATCTCAGAGGGCAGTAATTTGACAGTATCCTATCACTTAAAGGTTATACCTCTAGCTAACTTGGGGTGGAGCTGGGGTTTAAACTCAGGACCTTGTGCTTGCTAGGCAGATGCTCTATCTCTTGAGCTACCTCTTGAACCAAGCCCTTTTTGCTTTAGTTATTTTTCAGGTAGAGTTTCATGTTCTTTGCCCAGGCAGTCCTGGAC